TTTGGGGGTTTTTCATTATATAAAAGTGTACCAGAAATTAATTGATTAAAAAATCCGTAACTTTTTTGTTTACTGATGGATTTTTAAAATTCAAAAAGTTCCATGCTCAGTGAAGATAAAGCTACAAAATGCACCTATTTGCAAACACTTTCTGGCAAAAAAAGGTTTTTCGTGGTCATTGCTAAGGGGTTGTTGCAAATTTGACCCCGGCATGAGGCAACTTTGGCATAGCCTGTGACAGTACTGGCAGGGGCTGTGGGCAACTTTGACAGGGGGCGGATATCTTCAACAGTAGGCCTACTGGGTTCTTAATTTAACTTGAACTTATATTGTACCTCCCCCCCTCTCTCTCTCTTGTCTCTTTCTCTCTCTCTCTCTCTCTCTCTCTCTCTCTCTTAACTCCTCTCTGCTGAATTCTCTGTCTATCTCTCTCTCTCTCCCCTTGTCCTTCTCTTTCTTCGCCACCCCCTCTACCCGATTCTCCGAGCGCATGCACACACGAAGAGACTCACTCAGATCATACGTGCACACAGGCACACACACACATGATACACTCTCTTTCTCTCTCTCTCTCTCTCTCTCTCTCTCTCTCTCTCTCTCTCTCTCTCTCTCTCTCTCTCTCTCGCACACATACGCACACACACACACACACACACAGACACACATACACATTTAGCTCTGAAAGTGCGACAGTTGAGCAGTCTAGATCGAGTGTAATAAGTCTAAATTTCTGCTAGTTTGTATCTGACTGGTCAAGGAATTTGGATCCAAGATGAAAATGACAATAATAATACAAACAAGATTAAACTGAAATGTGATACTTTGTTAAAGGTGATTCTGTTTATGAAGCTGAAAGGTGGAAATTGTCCCACCCCCTGTCGAAGTTGCCCCATTTCGCCATGTCGAATTTGCACCTATCCCCAATACCTTAGCCCATCTTTTTGAACAAATTCATGTAAATTCATATACAGTGGAGTCCACTTACGAGTCCTGAACAAAAGTCTGTTCTGAAGACACTATTCTAAAACCCTTTTTTTTCCCCTTCTTTATCTTTGTAAATAAAATACTGCTATTATGCAATCAGAGTCCTGCGAGTCGGTTATAACGAAATATTGCTGCTGCTGTGCACAGCGCACAGACAAATTAAACATAAATCCTCGCCAGTTGAGAAAGTTGTTGGTGATCCAGCGAAACAAAGAATTGGAGAGCCCACACGAACCAACAATGAAGGCCGGGGCGAATGAGTGGGGAGGGTGTTGCATGCGCAGACGAGCAGAATGCATCTTGTGATAGGCCAGCCAAGTCTAGATTATCTAGGCCTACCACTAACATGCCTCTCACTTCTCTTATGCGGGATGGATAAGTCACAATTCTGTGATAGATGGAGTGAATGTGACACAAGGGCAAGCAGATGCAACGCACCACAGAGTGTGGTGGGGTGGGGGACAACACAGCGGGCGAGTTAGCCTAGAGCCAGAGCCCCTTCTTTCTGATCGCCAACGCAGAGCTGTCAACATTGCTTGTTAGAGAAAGAAACCTGATTCGATTTTTGATCAAGCTAGACCTAGAGATCATGTTGAACAAAATCATCATCAGGGGAAATACAAAAAGGAATACATACACCAAACTCATAGACTTGGCCTACTTTACTATAATTCACTTGAATTTATTACTGGATCCCTTACAACGAGAATCCTGCTATAAAGGACATTTCGCACGGGTCCCCACCCTCTCTTTATAACAGGATTCCATAACTGATGAATATTTTGAAGCAAGAAAACAAGCGTGTATAAAAGAAAGTAAGTGACGGGTGAAGTACCGATTTTTATCTTCAAGAGCTAAAAGTACGCTGCGACGGAGCGCCGAATTTGGATGGGTGTTTTCTGGAGCTTTCAGACTAAAAAGGGAAGCCTAGGAAGCCCAAATTTTATATTTAAATAGAATCAAATGTGCAACGAATAAAAGTGAGCTTTAATAATTCCACGACACAGGGGTGAAATGATTCTCAAAAGCCAAGTCTGGGTTGAGGCTGTCAAAGTTGCCCCTAGTTAGAGAACCGTACGCCATTCATCGTCATCCGGTGCCTTGCCGACTGGCCTGGTCGATCATGGACGTCCACTTCACTCTGTCTAGTACGCCATTGGCCGATATTTATAGTAATAGCCATCTTGTTTGTGTCATAAAATAATGTTCTTCATTCTGACAAAAGACAAAAGAAGTTCTAGACCTACTGTCTCGCTCTCTTATCTGTAAAAAAAATGTGGAGTAAAAAAAGAAAGCTTTTTTTTCATTTTAGCAAAGTGTTGTATATATATATAAATGATAATGCTCATTATATTATGTATGTTAAAGAATAGGGCTGAATTGAACTTTGGTGGACCCACCGTGTTTACATCATGTATTAATGCGCACTTGCCATAACAACAGTGGGGGGTTTCAGGGAGGCTTGCAACAATAATAATTAAAAAAACCACACATTTATTATTTATAAGTGCAAAACAATAACCTAAGAACGGACCATTGCACAGCGAGGCTCAAAAGTAGTTCCGGCTTCGTTCTGTGTTGGGTCCTCCGAAATTCAATCTTACCAAGACTACGTCAAACAAGATGGCTGTTACTGTAAATATTGGTTAATGGCGTACTCCTAACATTCTCTAACTAAAATATCCGCTTGTGTCACAGTGCCACCTTAGTGATGCTGATGGGCCGTGGGCGATCCTGTAATTCAAGGATGTCTTACAAAAGATGGTCTCTTCTCTGACCGCTAACATAGTGTTCCAACTAATTCTATTTCATAGATTAAGTACTCGTGATTATCAAATCTCTGACAGTGTAGCATCTTGAACTTAAAATGAATTGTGGAAATTCAAAGTCAAAGTTCGACTAGTCTAGATCTAGATTCTAGTGCTACACTAGACTAGTGAGTGGTTTAGTGTGTAGACTAGTTACTTGATAGGCGCTTTTTCGGTAGTTCCCACCCCCCAATTATTATTTGTCGGTTTTGGCCCCAAGTGTATGGGGGTTTGCCCCCCCTGAATTTTATCATAATTTGATGTTTTGCAGTTAAGTTTGATATCTCTCGCTCGCCGCGCATCGAACATCTCGTATAATAGATCATGATCTAGGCCCAATTAAGCAGAGTAGGAACTACTGAAAAAGTGCCACTTGTTATTACTGCTTACTTGCACACTAACAAAAGTCAACGCTCACAGACATGTGCACACTTATGTTGATATCGGGTTGATTTTGATAAAATTGTTGTGTAAATGTGAATGACATTAAGACTAAGGCCTAACTACATAGTATAGGCCTGATGTTTATGTTCGTACGTACATGCGTGTGCACACACACATGCACACACTTACACACACACACACACACATTCTCATAAAGACACGTACGCTCACAAGTAGCACTTGATATTGTAAGCTATTGTGAATGAGAATGCAATTATTATATATTATTATAACTTCCTGATTCTTAACCTAACCCTTAGTGATTGCAGCAGGGCTTATTTGTGTTGCATTAGTAGTAGAGTGTCAAAGATTTTACATTCAGTCGCATCGGTGTGGAATGGTGCGTGCCACTTTGGGTCACAAACATAAGTTTGCTTTAAAACAATTTCTTGTCTTTTTATTCCAGGGAAAAGGAAAAGGGAGGGCTGCCCGCAATGCAAAAGTTAACGAGACTGGAGATGACAGAGATGAACGGTTCTCAAAGGCACCACATTCATTTGTCTTCCATCGTGGTCATGTTGGTAAAACAGTAAAAGAGCTTGTTTCAGACACAAGAAAAATCATGGAACCCTTCACAGCTTCCAGACTGAAAGTGAGTAAAAATGAGGATTTTGAAAAGTAATTGTGAATTATAAAAAAAGCACTCTTCATTGTGCCGAGGTGAGTTTCCATCTTCTTAACAAAAGCTACTGTGTACATGAATTTTCAACTGGTGTTTGACTTGGCAACTTTTTTTTTGTGGTTGTAGTTCTTCTTTTTGAGTGCCCTAGTACCACAATGCTCAATTGAATCATAAGGTTGTCTCGAATATATCTATTTATTATGCCCAGGTCTGAGTTTATAGGATATGTATTTCAATCTGTTTGATTTCATTTTCATAGTGGTTATATTATATTCCTCACAGGTGCAAATAATGTACAATTTGGAATGAAAACAACCAAACTGCATAAATGTTCTTTTGTGAGAAAGTGTTAAAATTTTGTTTTACATTTGGTTGCCAAAATAACCAAAGGTGAAAATCTGCAATCTTAAATATTTCATGAATGTTTATAGCTTACAGCTCTGTTGATTCTGCATTGTGGTCCCCAGGTGCATACTTAGTCTCACACTTTGGCAGTACAAACATGACACAGCAGTTCTGGAAAAAAATATAGAGGCTTGAATAAAAACATCATGCATTTTTAGCAAAGAATCGCTGAAAAAATCAGAGGGAGAGGAAAGTTTTTAAAAGTGACTACATTTTAGTCTTCAGAACTTAAAAGACAGAAATTGTGTGAAAAGGTGAATTTGCTTTTTGACAACTAAGGAAGCCTGAGGCATTTGTAGCAAAATATGAAAGGCATGGTAAATTGTGACATATCATCAACAAAATTGGAAGCCGATAACAATGTCATGCAGATTTGATGCAGTTTACAGGCTTTTAAGATCTTTCGTATTTTGATGCTTAGAATGACTTATATTGAAAAATACCATATATTATATAAATTGAAGCGAAAAGGGTCAGAGTATCGGATTTCCTGTTAAGTCCTTAATTGTTTGAGTGTTTTTTTATCTGAATATTTTTGACTAGACCCTAGAGATAAAATCAATTACTCTCTTTTAACATACTGTCTTTGAGTCATGTTTTTAAATGACTGAATTTATTTTAAAACTACTAGCATGACAGTAAAAGAATTGTTTCAGAAAAGAAGAAAAATTATGACATGTGTTGAGTCTAGAACGATCTGGGAAAGGGAAAACGGATATATTTGTCTCTTTTTTATTTGCTACTGTGTTTTGACAACTCATTTTTCAATGTTATGGGAATGTTACTTTGTACATCAAATTTTGCTTTCAGGTGAATGGGTAGGACACATCGGAAGGCAATATTTTACATCCCGCTTTTTTCACAATAGCATGTTATGTAATCTACAACTGAAGCAAAACAGTGGCATATTTTATGTCTGATGTGTATTTTTGTTGTTCATTAGAATGAAAGTCATTTATATTGGTCATATTTCATGATTGTCAGAGGCAGTATTTGAGTAATAACTTAAATGTGGCCACTTGGTGGATGCTTCATTGAAGCCTTCTCCTTCTCTTTTTAACCCTGCTGCTGTGGGTGGGTGTACTGGGCCTGTGCTGGCTAAGGCATGTGTTGGGTGCTCAGAAAGTAAAGGTAGTCATGCTTAGGCATACTCAAGGGGCCATTGGGTAAAGTTTGACTTTCATTTATTTTTATCTGTTTTGAGTGGTACAAAAGACTTCTTCGTGTTGATAATGCTGTTATATGTGAACAAGTTGAAATGATTTAACACCTTCATTTTATTCTACAGGTGAGGAAGAGGAACGTGATGAAAGATTTCTTGACGATAGCAGGACCCATGCACGTTTCTCACTTCATTGTGTTCACAAAGACAGACATTGCCACGTACATGAAGCTCATCTGTGTCCCGAGGGGGCCAACCCTCACGTTCAAGGTCTGCGAGTACTCCCTTTCCCGGGATGTCTTGTCTTTCCAGAAGCATCCGGATGTGGAGTCCAAGTTGTTCAACAACCACGCGGTGATGGTGACCAATATTCCGGCGGACTCGATGGAGAATAAATTGATGAATGTGACGTTCAAGAACATGTTTCCTTCCATCAACCCAAATACTGTGAGTGAAGTCGAAATCAGAAAAGTTTTCGTGGTCTGTTACAAAATACTGTCAAGCATGTCCAAGACGACCGCCTATTGGTTAGGAGAGAAGTTGTCTTGGAAAGTGTCATAATAATAATAAAACCCCCACAAAAGGTGAAGTGGGGAGTGGTTGTTAGAGCAGGATCAACTGTTTCTCATGTTTGCTCTTGCTTAAACTTGGAGCTTTTTTTTCTTTCAGAACTAGCTTTTGATTATATTGAACATCAAGGTGCTGTAAAATTAGAAGGTATTTGTAGCTTTTATTGTTGTGATGCTGTGTCACCATGCATGAAAGTGCTCAGAAAAGTTTTTTGTACCCCCTTTGTGGTTATTCAGAAAAGGAAAATTGTAGAAAGTTGGTTTCTTTTGTAGAAGTCTGAATTTTTGCTGTTTTTTTTTTTTTTTCGTATCGATATGAAAATGAGTCTTTCACTAAAGTCATATTCTAAGTTTTGCATTTCTTTGGCCTTTTGTCCTCAGGTGAAGTTGAACAACATGAGAAGAACAGTGCTAGTGAATTACGACAAGGACACAAAAACAGTGGAGATTCGTCATTTGTAAGTTTTTGTTGTTGCAAGGCTTTTAGTATAATATTGAGAACACTTTTCATGTTTCAAATACGTTTTTCATTGCTCCACACTGGACGCTTATAATGTATTTTTGGTTCCCTGGAGAATGATTTCTAGATGCTATTTTGAATGAGCAAGAGCATTCATGATTTACCCCTTCAGTGGTGGTAAATCAAGTACTCAGTGGGCTTCCAGTAGTAGTAAAAAGGAAGCAGATCCATGACCACAATTTGTACTTTCTTCATACTTTTTCCTCATCTACAAAGGTAAGCATCTTGGAATTCCAGATTTTGAAATGTTCAAATTTGCTCTGTGTTAAAGAAAAGCTCAAGAGGTTATCGATGACGTTTAAAGATGCAGCCTCTTTTAAGAGCTAAATGGAAAAAAAGAAGCGGAACTACATTTTGTTTTAAGAAAGTGAAAGACAACTCCTCAGTATTTTGGAAACTTGTGATTTATTTTGCCCTGAGTGTTATGTGGAGAGGCAGACAGAAGAAGAAATGGGAGGATAACATCCGAGAATGGACAGCCATGGAGCTGCGGGACTCACTGAGGAAAGCAGAGAGCCTAGAAGATTGGAGGAGATTTGTTGTCATCTGTCACAGACGACCCAGCGGATGGCAAATTTACGGGAGCAGAAGAAGCAGAAGAATCATGTGGAGAATGTTAGCATTGTTTTGAAGACGGGTGTTACTTACGTCTACTTTGCTGCTTGAGGTTGCCCTCTTTCACATGTTAAAGATGATTATTTGTTGGTATTTCATTGGCAAGCTGTTCAACTGTTTTAAATCCAAAAAGCAACAATTTTCAGGGTAGAGGAAAACTTGTTTTTTTTAAAAAGATTTGCACCTAGATTTTTTTATGTCTTAGATAGAAAAACTTCTGTTTTTAAAAGAATTGCACCTAGATATTTATGTCTTTTCTTGTTTTTTTTTTTTTTTCAGCGTTTAGAATTTTAATTCTGGCAAAATGTTTCCCAAGCAGTTGCAACTGATACTGCAGATTAGGACATCTGAACAGGTGGCCGATGATTTGTTCTTTTGTCTCTGACGTGTGTATTTTCCTCAGCACAATGAAAGTTGTTCCCACTGGAATAAGTCGAGCCATGAAGAAACTGATGAGGCCCAAACTTCCAGATATGAGTAACCATGAAGACATTGCAGATGTTTTCTTGGATAGGTAAGTGTAACTATGATAATAGTTTTTGTTTGCTTTGCAAGTTTCAGACTAGATCTGAGTAGGAGACGTCTTTGCAGGTAAAATGGGAAATAAGTTTTATCTCAAAATTAATGGAAAGATAAAGCTGCCAATTTCTGTTGTTATTGTAATAATGATGATGATCATAATAATAATAATAGTAATAATAATATGAATTGCATTGTCTTTTAGCCATTTTTTTCCTTCTAAATGTCTACTTGTCTTTTTTAAAACAGATTAGTTTCTGGATAGTGATTTTAAAATTGTAACTTATGCTTTAAATAAAATGTTATTTTGCTGATAAATCTTGAAGCAAATAGTCAGCCATTCCTCATAATAAGTTTTTCTTTTATTATTTGTTCTTTAGAGGAATGTCCGACAGTGAAGGGGAACAAGATGGTCCCCATAGTCAGGTGACGGTGTCACAGAAGATCAAAGACAGAGGAGTAGCCCGGAATGCCACAAATGCTATCAGGTAAAAGTTTTGCCCTATTGTCCCAAGGTTCCTCTGTTTTCAAGTACAGCCGAATCTGCTCTAGTGACTAGCTGTCCTAGACAATCACCTGTTTCAAATGACCACTGCCCACTTCCTTCCTAGTGCGCCCCTCCCTCCCCCCCTATATTGAACAGGTTTGACTATATTAGCAAGGGACTCGTAGTCAGATAACTTTGCTAATCTATTTTTTTCACAATTTGTATTTTGGTCTTTCCTCATTTTGTCTTTGTCAAGTCAATCTGGAAACTGTTGTGCCCAATGACACGCGAACATTTTCTCGGATGTGTTTGGGGCTTGTTTTCAGTGAAGTTTGTGCTTGTTTTTTATAAAAGTGATAACAGCGAATGCTTTCTTTTTATATAAAGCTTCTCCACTCTGCAAATGCTCAATGTGCTTTGCACAGTACAATACAAATTTACATGGTTTTTTACTCCGGAGAAAAAAAAATTGGCTTTTAAATTTAAAAAAACTTGGTTGTTATTCATCTTGCTGTTCTTGTTTTGTTATTTTCTGTTGCCTGTAAATTTTTTTTTTTTTTTAAATTGTTTTTCACAAGTGATGATTTATGTCAATCACCAATATGTACTTCTTTGGAATTTGTACCGATAAGGACAGAAATCGTGGAAGGTTTACCGGTGCTTTGGTGCCTTGTGGTTTGCTCCTTCTTTCCTGTCGTACATCAGTTGTCCTTATCTGTCCTCTTTTTTAAAAAGTGTTTGTTACCCTCCTATAACACCTAATCTTCGACACTTATATGACCTTATCGTGTTGCAAGTGCTGTTAAACTCTTACTAAAAAAAAAGAAAAGAGAGAAAAAGTTGTTACTAATTCTTTTTTTTTCCCTTCCTTTTCTAAGGTTGAAGGAGATTGGACCCCGACTAAGTCTGCAGCTCATCAAGATTGAAGAGGGCTTCGAGGGAGGCAACATTTTGTTCCACGCTTTAGTGCAGAAAACACCAGAGGAAGTGGAAGCTTTGAAAGCAATAAAGCTGAATAAGAAGTAAGTGCTGCTGCCGCACACATTGTAGATGTAAAGCATGTATTGGGGAACATACTGCTGAAAGCTGACAGAACGCCTTTTTCATTTTTGGCGGCAAATTTTTATTGAAAAAAACATTTTAAATTTATTTGCTAAGTCGAAAGCCTGACCCCACTAGTGTGAAAAAAATCAAAGTGAAACTGTAACTAGTTTTTGAATAGATTAGAATTCAAACTTCCGAAGAACGCCTTTTTAAAATGGTTACGCTGGCAAAAATCCTCTTTATTTCGAAATTGCTGTGAATACAAAAAAAGGCGTTAGTCAGCCTGCGGCAGCACAGGCTACAATATTTTGGTGGTTGTGACCTAAAATGTTGTTTTGTGATTTGTGGATTATATCCCTTAAAAATTAGATCATGCAGAGGGCCTCAAGAAGGTGGCTGTTAGAATTGAGAGCACAGGAGCATGCAAAGTGGTTGCTGCAAAAGTCCATCATGTACTCTGCTGTATGTTTTTATATAGAGTATTAATATATGAGTTGGATACATGTGTAGGACTTTCCCTGAAAAAAAAGGAACAAGAGACAAGTTATACTTGTATAATGTGAGGTATAATGAACCAATGATTGAATGAGGACAAGAGAAATATTGTAAAATCCAACAGCATTATGAAAGCACAAAAATGTGAATGCAATTTTCAAGAATACTGAAGCTTTGAAAGTCGCCAAACTGTGGCTGCCATTTTCTCGTTAGGTTCTAATTTTACTTCTAACACCAGGCGACCCCCACCTCCTTCAGTAAAAAATATCTTGACTTCTATTCAAGATAGATGGTTATTTAAAAAAAATAAAGAGCAAGACCAAGTTTTAAGGTGATAGCAATAACGCCATTTGCCCGAAAATTGATGAGCACCTGATTCCACTAAGCCGTGACACATGTGTTTGACTGACGCATGCTGGATTTTTTTTTTTTAAAGATTTATATTTGGATCACATTTTTCTCTTAAAATTTCTATTTTGGACATCAGTGAATGAACTAATTTGAATGGATTACTCTTATTTTTTTTTTCAGGAAAGAGAAACTGGCCCGAAAGCAGCGTCAAGAGGCCAATGTGAATAAAAAGAAAGAGGCGAAAGAGGAGCAGATCAGGAAGACGGTAGAAGGAATGGAGCGAAAGAAGCTGGAGACAGGCAATGATGATGATAATGATGATGAGGAGGAGGAGGAGAATGAAGATGTTGAAGAAAATGTTGCACATGATTCCAGTGATTCGGGTTAGTGCTTTTTAATATGAAAGTAGGCTTTATGTTCTTGTTGTTGTTGTTTTGGATCCAGCAACAGCTGGGCCCTGGGCCTTCTGTCCAGCTCCATGAAAGTAGGCTTTAAGCAAAGGTCTTACCTTAAAAAAACCCCCATCAAACAAAACAAAGACAAATTACGTCACTCAGTGTGACGTTTGGTCAACCAGCGATTAAATCAAGGACAAGAGGAGCATTGTGAAAGCTGATGGGAAGTAACAGTCAGAAAAGACGCTGTGTTTCAGAGGTTGTACATGCTCCTAAGAAGATAACCCTTGCTTCTGGAATTCAAAGTGATGATTTTGTCATTTGTTTTCAGTTGAAGGGAGGGCATTTGCTTTATGTATGACTAGTTTAATCACAGTTGACACTGGCATGTCCAATTTTTTCTCTTAATTTTGGTGTGGAGTAGACTTATTTCTTGCTACACAATTAGATCATATAAGTGTTGAAGATTAGAGATCTTACAAGAGAGTTACGAACACAAAAAAGGAGGGAGGTAATGACAGTAGATATAAATTTCATTTTAAAAAGTCTAATGTGAGCTAATCTGTTAACCCTAGACAGAGCGAAGTATGAGAAAAAAAATGTTTAAAAAAAAAAAAATTGTCTTGCCCATGTTCTTCTCCCATCAAAAGCAGAATCACGTATCTGCATCCGAAATAATACTTTTCAAAGCGATAAAGCTGTGTAAGTGACTACTTATCCCAACAATAGCGTCGAGTTTTTCTCATGAAAAATTTAAATACATTGCTCTGCTTTTGGACAGCAGTAATATTGTCTGTCTCATTCCTTTGTTGCAGAGGACGACTTCAAATACTACAAGCAAGAGGTTGGAGAGGAACCCGAGCCAGGTAAGAGCATAACTACAAGCGCTCATATGACCTTAGCAGTTGCGAGCGCCGTAAAACCTTATACTATACATACGCATAACTACAATATCAGATTTTTAATTCTTTGGTCTCTTAAATCCTCCGCCCGATCACATGGAAGATCAATAATAATTGTAAAACCGGTAGCTATAGTATAATAGTTGGGCTCTTTGCCATTGCATACAAAAGATGAGAGTTTGATTCTCTAGTAGGAAATTTTTGTCTCCAGTATCTTATCCCGTGTGCTGGGATGTTGTATCCCTCTTAGCTTGGGCTGGCCCTGATAGGCAGGGTTAAAGCTGCCTGTCTCACAAGTTATCGAAAATGTATTGACGGCGGAGTAATACATTTACAGTTACAATTATCTACACTAAACTTTTCAACACCACAATGAATGGACGTTTTTGAGTGTGTCACTTTATTCTTCAGAAAGCATGAACAATTTGTTTGTACTGATATATTTTTCTCAGTTTTCGGGTAGGAAATGTCTAAGAATATGCATCCTGTCGAGGTGGTGTTTCTTTTCTTTAACTGCCAAGGTATCTTCTGACGTTCCCAGAACACCTTCAGTTTTTTGTTCTTGCCTGAGAAGACTAAGAACAAGGTTTTAACTGCACTTGGAATTAGAGGGTAAAAAAAAAAAACACGTGAGAAAATAAGCCATCTTTGCTACTAATTATGCCTGCTGGCACCCAGCACTTTATGCTTTGTGATAGGGTGTTATGAAAGAGGCTGTTTGCCGCCTCGTTTTTCTATCTGGTCTTTTTTATTGGACTCGAATTTGTATCATGTTCATACTTTACTCACTGCTTAGACCATGGGATGTTGTGGGGAGGTAGAAAATTCAGGCATTGGCAAACTGGAAAGCCTCCTATAGCTGGACATTGTGAGCTTCTAAAGTGTCCTAACCCCTCAATCAACCTTTTTCTGGATCTTCTTCTCATATGTACCAAAATTTAGAAATGACCATTTAGTTTTCTTGTATAGATATTGGGCTAATGCCTTTCTTTTCCTCTAGAAATGCCATGAATAAGAGAATGGTCCCATTGTGATCTTTGGTTGATGTTGTACAATGTTATGTTTATTCATTTTGCCGATTGCGATTTGACAGTCATTTTTTTTCATTTACGGATAAGAGCCATATTTATTGCTATATTAAAGACTATGCCCCCCCCCCCCAACATACACCTACTTAAAAACACACCCTTCTCTCTTCCCCTGTTTTATAAAAAAGAGTATTCTATCTTATACCTGCTATAAACTGTTGTTTTTTTTTTTTTGGCTTTTATCAAGCTGAAGGGCTCAAACTCAGCTGCTTGATCAGAAAAATGAAGTGTTCTTTATATGTCAATTTAGCTTAACCTTGTTTTCTTCTTTGCGTTTCAGAAATGTTTTCAAAGTCCACAAAGAGAAAACGTAAAGGAGATGATGATGGTGCACCAGCGGCTAAACGTGGAAGAAATGTCAAGAAATTCCCTGTACAGAAACAGGCAAAAGGCAGGGCAGAGCAGAAAAAACCCAGCAAATTCTCCGTCAAATTTAGCCAGAAAGCAAAGACAGGCAAGCCCAAAAGAGGTGACCCAAAACAAAGTGCAAAACAGGGAAAAGTGAAAAAGCCTCTCTTCAAAGGTGGAAACAAAAGGAAGAAGTGATAGCTAGAAAAATATTTTTAGGACAAAATGAATGTGACTGTTACCTTATTTTAGATTTTCCTGCAAATTGATCTGTGAGGTCTGTTGGAGTTCTAAACCCGTGCACTTAAAAGCTGATTTCTTATAATATAGTGGCTGAAACAGGAGTGCTTAACCCATTAGGGACACACCTTCTGGTCATTCGGCAGCCCTTAAAGTAGCGATCTTTTGGGATATTTTTAAAAAATGAAGCCTTAATGCATTAATCATACACATTTTTCACTTCTTAATCTGGTACTCAAAAGGGGGGGCAACATCACACATGGCATGAAATATGCAATTTTGTGTTTCTGATTTGCGTATGATAGCTCGAAAGGTGCCGCAACTTTGCATTAGGGCTGCTGTTGATCGGACATATGTGTCCCCACGTCCTCAAAGAGTTAATGCAAGTATATGAATGACTGGGTGTGTGTGTGTGTGTACATGTGTTGGTATGTGCTTGTGCATGCATGCGGACATGTATGTGTGTGTATGCTGGAAGGAATAATGAACACATACCTGTTTTTGTTGAGTATTGACAATAAAGTATGTGCGCAAAATACATGAAATCCTGTCTCTTGGGCATTCAATTTTGTTTCTATTATTATTTATTATATCATGGTGCTGGGTTAAAGATTAAGACGCTTAATGAGTGTGGTTATATTGTGCTCTTTGTCCACCAGCAGTTCAGATGTACTAAGCGGGTGGTTGGCGGGTGCTCTTGTGTGGTTTGCTTCTTCTTTCCTATCAAACATCTATAGTTCTGATCTCTCCTCCTTCATAATTTTTGTGTTTGTTACTTTCTCGTAACAACACATCTAGTCTTCGGCACTTATATGACCTTATTGTGTTGCAAGTGCTATAAAACTCTTACTCTTACTAAAACTAAAGATGTACTAAGCCCATTATTTTGAATTTGAAAAAAAAATGGGGTTTCTTAATCTCTGGTATCTGTTGCATATTGTCAAAAAAATATTTTGACAACTTTTAAACTCTAAATGCTGAAAAAGGAAAGAAAAAATATATAAAATAGATACAATTGCCAAAAGAATGACGCAGCTTTTTTCTCTCTCCTAAAAAATCTTAATCTCTGAGCTTAGGACTTTTGAGCAGCATGCTGGTGACATACATGCTTGGGTGTTTCAGAAAGTGGCTTATCTGAAAAATTGTTTTGGTCATTTTTAAGGACAAGTTTACTGACCCAGATTTCGGAGGTTTCCAGAAATCTTGACCTACACCAAAAGTGGGTATTGCCCTACCTATAGGAAACGTTTGGTTTAATTGGTGTGTATATTTGTTTGGTTATAGAGAAAACTCTCCTTGTCTTTTAAAGAAATTGAGCAAGGGGCAAAAACTTTAACGTTGATTTTCTCAAAACCGCATTTTTCGGGATAGACCCCGCCTTGTGCTTAAAAGCGACCAGTTTAGATGGATGTTAATTTTTTTCAAGGTCCTGCCTCATAATCTTGACTGAAAATATTTTGTGTCCTTTGACACTATCTAAATCATTTAGAAGAGTTAATTAAAGTAATTAAAAGAGCCACTGGTGACTGTGTTCCTTTTTTAAATGTAGTTTGCATTTGCTCTGAACATGTCCTTTGTTTATAGTGGTGTCTGTGGTGTAGAAGTAATTGTTAGGCGCTTTGACATTACATGCAAAGAAAAGATCTGAGTATGATTTAGGGGGGCTCTCGTGGCCTAGAGGTTAAGGTGTTGGCCTCTCATTCAAAGGTCCCGGGTTCGATTCCGGGTAGCGACCAAAATATTTTCTTCTCTAAAAGTGTCTCCTTTCACATCCTTTCCTGATCTCTAACAATATTCTGTTGTCTGCTTTCATTTCCACTTTCTGCCCCCACCCCCTCACCTCCTTTGCCCCCTCCTCTGGGCTCCTGACTCTTTCTGCAGCTTTTCTACTGCTACTCCTTGGCTCCTCCTTACTGCTGTCTTTCTGCCACACCCCTGATCTTCTGGTAGGAAAGATCTACACCTAGCCTTCTCGGACAAGGGCGAAAAATCTCGGAGGGTCCGTGTGCAAGTTGCGCACGTTAAAGATCCCTTGGTGGTCTAAAATCGATAAGAGTAGGCTTCGGCCGCCACCCGGGCAAAATTCAAAATTTCCTACCAACGAAAAAGTATTAGGTGTGTCCCACGCGCTCATATGACCTTATGCAGTTGCGAGCGCCGTAAAACCCTATACTAAACAAACAAACATGAGTATGATTCCTAGGGCGTGTGGAAATTTTTTTTGGTGTATCTTGGTCCTTTTTTTTTTGATTGGGCGTTGTTTCCCTCATAGCCTGGTTAGCCTTGACAGGCTAGATTGAAGCCGGTCTTGTAAATGATCTAAATTGTGTTGACGGGGGCGTAAAACACTTGCATTGAAACTTTT